TCATTTTTAATTTTACAAAAGTGTGAGATTTCCTTGAGTCTCAGAAGAGAGTTTGGACTCTGGAACACTGGTGAGACCTCTAAAAACTATGGGAACTTTTTACAAGTTGATTACATTTATTTTGAACTATGGGATGAATATGAGGAGTGACTATTAAGATTTAAAAGTGATGCATTTGAATGTTGGGTTGACAGGGAGAGGAGCTGTGTTGGTTAATAGTCATTGTCAATCTGACTGAATTTAGAAGCACCCATGAAACACATTCTTGGGTGTGTCTATGAAGGTATTCACAGAACGCTTTAGGAGAAGGGAAGAGTCTTTGTGTGTGGGGGTGGTACCATGTTACGGACTGGCATCTTGAGCTGAATAGAAATGAGAATGTAAACAAAGGGCTAATGTTCACTTCTCTCTGCTTCCTGAGTCCAGACACAATGTGACCAGTCCAGACACAGATGCTTCAAGCCTCCATCACCATGCCCTTGTCATGATGGACCATCCACCTCAAACTGTGAGCCCAAATGAGCCATTCTCCCCTTAAGTTGCTTTTTTTTTTTAAATAAAGTATTTTATCAGAGCAATCTGAAAAGTAAAATGTGCAATGATGCATCTTATGCACTAATTTCCCAGGGTGTATGGCCAGGGACAGAGCTGAAGGCTGGGGATAGCCGAATCTACCGTATTCTTCTCTAGCTGTGCTGTTTGGTTCTGTATGTGAATGTGGACCATTGTATTAGATTGCTTTGGATAGGTGGAGAAGACCTTGAGTTCTTGTTAATAGAGTGTTATACAGAGTAACACTGGCCACTGCTAGGACTGGCCCCTGAAAACAGCCATGCAGCAATCCCCACTCTTTGCCCAGGACAATTCAGATTAGTATTCTGCCCCAACTCTCCATCCTCATTTGCTCCAGGACATTATCTTTTAGTATTTTGAAGTTTTCAAAATGTGTGCTTATTACAAAGTTAACTCACCTTGACAGTACACTGGGTTTTAGTGAATAGCATGTTCAATTTGACAAGGTAGCAGCAAATTGTTTTCAAAGAGATTCTATTGGTTTATAACCCTGCCCACCCAGGTATGAAAGTTTCAAGTGCCTTCGTGATATATGTTTTTATTCTCCTTGTGGTGCTATTTATTGAATAGAAGCTTTTGATACAAGTATCATTGCATATACCAATACTGTCATATTAGAATGCTAATTTTTACTTTTAGTTAAATATCTGTCTGTCTGTCTGTGTGTAGTGCATGAGAATGCAGATATCTGCACTGGAGTTAGAGGTGTTGGGTGCCTGGAGCTAGAATTACAGACACCACACAATTGTGTTCAGGGAATTGAATTCAGGTCCCTTGCAAATGCAGTATGTATTCTTAACTCCTGAGCCATCTCTTTAGACCCCCATTTTTGATAGGTTGCATATTCTTATCAGTATTTGGTGTATTTAAGTTTAAGTTGTTTTTTTTTCTTACCAATATTGAGAGTATTCAGTATTGTCTCTGAATTTTTATTTTTATTTTCCTAATTATCAACAAGTTTGATCAATTTTCTATATGCTTATAGGTTGTTTATATTTTCTTTCATATGAAATGACTGCATCTTGTCAACTTTTATTTGTGTTCACTTGTGAAAATCTTACAGTATGCACACCATTCCTATAAATCATATATTTTCGAACACTTTTCCCCAGGGTGTGACTTCTATTTTTTTTTATTTTTTATTTTTTATTTTACAATACCATTCAGTTTAACATAATAGCCACAGATTTCCCTGTTCTCCCCCTCTTGCCCCCCTCCCCCTCCCCTCCGCCCACCCCCCATTCCCACCTCCTCCAGATCAAGGTCTCCCCCGAGGACCGGGTGACTTCTATTTTTATTATCTTTGTGGTGTCATTTATTGAAAAGAAGCTTTTCACACAAGTATCATTGAATATACCAACATTTTCATATATAGATTGCATACTTTGTATCTTATATGAGAAATAGTGTAATGATGACAGTTGTGATGATATTCTCTTATTTCCTGAATGTTTTACTTTGTATGTTACATTTTAAGTTTATAACCTGAGATTTTCTTTTGTGTTCATTGTGACATTGGGTAAACTTTCTCTTTCTCTTTGAAGATGGACTTTTTTTTTCCTAGTTCAGAATGTTCACTAAAATTGGCTTATTAAGAAATAAGAGTATAATAGTATTGTTTTTTCTCTGGCTTTCAACTTGGTTTGAAAATTCAGTTTTCATGTAAGGTTAATTACTATTTATTTCCTCATTTAGGACATGAGTCCATACCACATGATTTTGTAAATAAATTTTATCGGGACACTGCCATGCTGATTTCTTCAACTTATTGTCTACTTTGCTTTTGACTATGATGGCAAAGTTGCTAGTTGTTATAAAAAGCTATTTAGTCTCCAAAAAATCCAATGTTTGCTATATAGTTCTTTAAATAAACATGTTCAGTGTTTATAAATGTTCTTTATATGTCAAGAAAAATACCCATTTATCTATTTGGGGGAATGATCCTTTATGTGAATTAGATCATAATAGTTATGTAATTCACATGTATTTATTTTTATATCTCATCTATTATAGGATGTGTATTGAAATATTTCATAGTTAAAGATTCTTTATGAACTTATGCCATTTTTGGCTTTGTACATTTTTAGATTAACTTGCATTTATTTATTTGTATTTGTTTTCTGTATGTGTATGTGTGTGTGTCTGTGTGAGTGTGGTATATGAGTATGGAATATGCATGTGTGTAGGACTGTGGAAATGTGTGTGTGCATTTGCACATTCATGCAGAGGCCAGAAGAGGATGTTGCATAATTTTATCATTCTCCACCCTTTTCTCTTGAGAAATGGTCTCTCACTGAACCTGAATCAGTAGCCAGCAAGGCCTGCTGATCCTCCTGTCTCTGCCTCCTCTCCCCATATACCAGGTTGATAAGTGCATATTAGACCACTTCAACTTTTTACATGGGTTCTGAGGATTTTAACTCAGTTCCTCATGCTTGTTCAGCAAGTCTTCCTACCCACCGAACAATCTTGCTGGTCCTAGACTAACTGGTACTCAAAATGATGATGATGATGATTATTTATCAAGAGATCTTCCTTTTAATTTTTTTCTGAATGTTTAGCTCATATTTTTTAAGTAGCAATATATGGTTTAGTTAGTATTTGTCATATACTTTTTGTTTTTCTACTCTCGATCTCTTAATGTTCTTGTGTTTTAGATGTATCTTTATTTGGAGGAATCTTGTCCCTGAGTGAGGTTGCTAGCATTTAAGTAACCACATTGAGGCTTTCAGGGAGCCACACAGTTGTCCCTTAAGATTATTAGGGGATTGGCTGTATGACTCCCCATTGATACTACAACCTGCAGATCAAGTTCCTGATATGGAGTGACACAATATTTGCATGTAATCTATGTAAATTCTCACCTCTGTGTTAAATAGCTTCTAGAGTGCTTGTAATACCGACTGTGATGTGAATGTTGTGTCAGATGCTGCTGTACTGTGTTGGATAGGAAATGTCTCAGTTACTTTTCTATTGCCATAATGAAACACCGTGACTGTGGCAATTTCTCGGGCTGATCATGGCAGGGAGCATGACAACAGGTAGGCTTGGTTACTGGAGCAGTAGCTGAAAGCTCACATCGGATCCACAACTTCTAGGCACAGAGAATACTACATGGAATGGCATGAGCTTTGGGCACCACAAAACCCACCCCTCAGTGACATACCCCCTCCAGCAGGTCACACCACCCAGTCCTTCCCAAACAGTTCCATTAACTGGGACAAAGCATTCAAACAGATGAGCCTATGGGGGCCATTCTTATTCAAACCACCATAGGAAATAACGAGAAAAGAAACATCTGTGAATTTTCAGTAGAGATGAATTTAAAAAAATATTTTTTGAGCTATGGTTGATTGGCTACATGGATGTGGGACCTGTGGATATGGAGGCTGGCTGTAATAATGGCTCGACACCAGGGAAAACTGCATACTAAACTGCTACTATCATCTATGTGAATGTCTGAAGTAACTTTACACTCTTCTCTTCAAACCCAGTACTTATGCTGAGAGCCTTCTTAGGGGTTCCGTTTAAAGAATCCAACCGTCGGGGCCTGAGGATAATCATGCTACTACAGTCTAACTGCTGTGTTCAGGGAAGGGAGGGAAAGGAAAGGCCTGATTGGTCACTCAGTCATGTGCCTTCAGGTAGCAGCCCGATGCACACTGCTGTTCTCTTTTTAGATGGTTGGAAAACAGCCGGTATTTCAAGTGCCTTGCCTCAGCTGTGTTTGAGCTACGTGGGTTTTGAATGTGAGCACTCGATATGCCACTTTTGAGTCCCTTGCCCAGTAATTTTGAACGACAGTTCTCCCACATTTAAAATCAGATAGAGCCAGCAAGGTGGCTCAGTGGGTAAAGCTTTTCCTTGCTGTCAGGCCTGACAGCCTGAGTTTGATCCCTGGGACCCATGCGGATGGTAGAACTGACTCTCACAAGTTGTGCTCTGAGGATATGCCTGTGTTTCCCCTTAATAAATAAATAAATCATAGCTGCATCAAAACGAATCAAAATGAGAGAGTTAGCACAGAGAACAGTGTTCAGAATACACTGCAGCTTGGATAAGTGGTGCATTTCATTGTTATTACTGTAAATATTATTTTATTAATTCCCCAATACAATAAATGCCCAGTAAAAGCCTACTAAATATATCAGGTACTGCCTTAGATAGATCTTAGGAAACACCAGTGATCCAAAATCACTCATACATCATGTTCTTGTGGCATTTGTGTCTGGTGGGTTTATTACTCTGGAGGGCGAGACACAAAACTCCTGGAACTCCTGCCGCTGTGAGATGCAGCTACTCTGCTGACTGGCTGGCTGGCCCTCACCGGTGCCTGGTGCTTTGCGAGCTGTGTCTGGCCTAGGGTGACTGCAGCAGAGTTGACCAGCCCAGGACAACTTTGACTCCTTTCTGTATCTTTTCCACAGTGAGTAAGCACAAGGATGTGCTCATGACAATGGCGGAGAGATGAGAGTTACAGTGACCACATGCAAGTGCTTTTCCATCCTTTGTCTTTCAACATCTCCTTGGTCACCTCAAGACAGTTGGTCATCTCAGAGCCAGAGGGGGTAGACACTCACAGGTTGCAAAGGGGGATGGGATGCAGGAATGGTAAGTATTATAATCATTCGGTGGAACACGTAGTAAGTCAGGTTTTGTTCCTGTAAACTCAGTTTGGTGTGCTGACATTTTGTAGCTGTGTGTAGATACATGGGGTTGGGGGTTACTGCTCAAGGTTACCCTAAAGAGTTACAGTGAAGTAGTATGAGATGTTTTTTCTAGATGCACGGCTATTCCACTTCAGGGCCATCATTTATGAGATAGTTACTAAGCCAATATTATTCAGTCCCCTGCACTATGGATAGAGTAAAATACACTGTTTAAGGAAAACTATATGAAAGCCACACATATAGTGCATGCCTAAATATTAGCACTTGAGGAGCTGAGGCAGGATCATAAGTCTGGGGCTAGCCTGAGCTACAGAGCAAACTGTCTTAAAACAGAAAAAGAACAGAAGAAATGGAAAAGAAAGGAGTGCGAGAATTACTTGAATCAAACAGTCTTTAAAACTTGACAACAGGGGCTGGAGAGATGGTTCAGTGGTTAAGAGCACTGGCTCCTCTCACAGAGGACCAAGGTTCAATTTCAAGCAGCCACATGTTGGCTCACAACCACCTGTAACTCCAGTTCCAGGGGATCCGATGCCCTCTTCTGACCTCCACAAGCACCAGGCACACCTGTGGCACACAGATACACATGTAGACAAATACATTCATACACACACAAATTAATTAACTAATTAAAAAAAAACTTGACAAGTTTGCATCCAAAACAGATATTTTTTTTCCCAGTTCATGGGAGAACAACCATTCTGAAGCCACGGGGCTCTACAGAGAACAGCTGTTCTGAAGCCATGGAGCTCTACAGAGAACAGCCATTCTGAAGCCATGGAGCTTTGGTTTGGATTTTACACCATAACTACCAATTCCATTCTGTGCACTTGTCCACCACAAAAAAGGCCACAATAGAGCTAAAACTAGAAAAATAATTCGGTTTTAATCCTCTCAGCTCATGGGTCTATTGCCTGCATCCCATATTTCTTTATCATCTAATATTAGCTTTTCTCTCCTCCATTCTATATGTTTCTACTCACATACATGTAACTAGAGTTTTCCTGCCTTATCCACAGTCAGGACAAATCTTTATCACCCGCCAGTCCCACAGCCGCTCAGACCCAACCAAGTAAACACAGAGACTTATATTGCTTACAAACTGTATGGCCAAGGCAGGCTTCTTGCTAACTGTTCTTATAGCTTAAATTAATCCATTTCCATAAATCTATACCTTGCCACATGGCTCGTGGCTTACCGGCATCTTCACATGCTGCTTGTCATGGCGGCACCTGGCAGTGACTCCTTCCGCCTTCCTGTTCTTTCTTTTTTCCTGTTAGTCCCACCTATACTTCCTGCCTAGCCACTGGCCAATCAGTGTTTTATTTATTGACCAATCAGAGCAATTTGACATACAGACCATCCCACAGCACATATATGTGTTTACATCTATACATGTACACATTATAGGTTAGGGTCTGCATGTGAGGGAGAACATGTGTGGTTTTTTTCCTTTCTGAGATGGGGTGACCTCATTATTATATATTCCAAGCCTATCCATTTTTCTGCAAATTTTGCCATTTTATTTTTCTTTAGAACTGAACAGTAACTCCATTTATATGCATACCAGATTTTCATTATCTATTCATCTGTTGATGGACAATTAAGTTTATTCCAGTACCCTGTTCTTGTAAGTATAGCAGCAATAAGCATAGATATGCAAATATTTCTACAGTAGAATATGGAGCTCTCTTGGTATACAGCTAAGAGTGAAATAACTGAGTCCTATGCCTCTATTTTTGATTTTTTTTAAAGGAAATCTCCAAACTGATTTCCATAGCTTGTGTTAATTTTCACCCCCACTAGTAGTGAACAAAGGTCCAAATCCTCTCTAATCCTTTCTAGCCTTTGTTTGCTGTCAGATTTCTTTTTCCTTTCTTATTTTTTTTTCTCAAGATGGGGTTTCTCTGTGTGTAGCCCTGGCTGTCCTGGAACCCACTCTGTAGGCCAGGCTGGTCTCAAACTCAGAGACCCATTTGCCTCTGCCTCCCAAGTACAGGGATTAAAGGTATGCACCACCTCCACCCAGGCTGTTGTCAGATTTTTTGATGATAGCCTTTCTGACTAGAGTGAGGTGGTATCTCAAGGTCATTTTAATCTGTATTTCTCTCACAGCTGGGGATGTTGAATGCTTTTAAAAATAGTTATTGTTTGTTTTTCTTTCTTTGAAAATTGTCTATGCAATTCATTTGTGCATTTGTTGATTGACAGTTTTATTTCCTTGGTAATTTCTATACTTCTTTATAAATTCTAGCTATTAGTGTCTGCAATGTAGCTGGTAAAGATTTCCTCCCATTCTGCAGGCTATCTGTGCTTGTGATTGTTTTTCCTTTGCTATGCAGAAATTTCATTTCATGGAATCCCATTTGTTGATACTTGGGGCTGGTTCCTGTGCTGCTGATGTTCTGTTGAGAAAATTCTTGCCTGCCTCAATGTTTTAAAGGTTATTCTCTATGTTTTCTTCTAGAAGTTTCAGTGTTTCAGGTCTTAAATAAAGGTCTCTGATACATTTTGGAATTTTTATTCTTTTTGTACAAGGTGAAAGATAGGAATGTAATTTTATTCTTCTGTGAGCATCCCCATTTTGCTAGCATCATTTGTTGAATATGCTGTCTCCTTCCCTGCAATGGATGTTTTTGCTTCCTATGTCAAAAATTAAGTGGGCGTAGCTTTGTAGGTTAACTCCAGGGGCCACTATTCTATCCCACCAGTCTACATGCTGTGGAAACTACCTAGTACTAAAGGAACATAAAGTTAAAGATGAAAGACCTAAGTTAGATCAGCCAGAAGTAGTTTGGGCAGGCAAGTAGGGATGAGTAGAAATGAGATGTATTGTTTCCAGAGGTCAGGGCCAAATGATGGGTCAGGAAGTTCAAGGCAGGCAGTAGACGTTAATAGGCGGCATGAATGCCAGGAGCCCGTGACATCACCTTGGTACAAAGCAACTCTTTGGCTCAGATGGCAGTGTAGGATGTTTAGAACCTATGTGTGGGGTCAGGAAAACACTTGGGTTGAGGGAGGGACCATATGAATACTGCTGAGCATAGACATGAGCATTTTCAGTGGGGTCCCTGCATCTTTTCTTTTATGCATTCTATTTTTGACTGTCCCCTTAGTGACTTCATATCCATACACACATCTCCTTGTTTACCCGCTAGTGGCCCTCTTGCCTAGGAGTTTTGTTGATCTATCTCCCTACTGTGGCTTTGCAGAATGGAAGCTTTAATGGTGTGCCTTTGCACAGGTGTGTGCTTCCAGTGACTTCATTTGACCCTGTGGTGAGTAGCTAGGAACAATTATGATTCATGTCGCTACTCTCTTTCAGTATCCAGCTGTTGAGCACATTGGAATAAGAACCCACTTTTCTGCAGTATGTCTTCAAATTCACAAGGTTTTCAAAGCAATTTTATACACATCTTACTCAGTATTAAAACAAACACTTGACCAGAAAAGTGTTATGTCTAGCTCTCTCTTTCTGGTTCCCCACATCCAGTAATGAAGGCTTCATCTTCCTGAGTATCTATGCTCGCTGTTTGAACGGAACAATGGCCTAAGCAAGACAGAAGCTTCAAATGAGGGGTTGTTGCGCTGTATCCATGCAAGGGGTAGAGCTTCTTTTGACCACAAGAGGAATTGTTTGGTTGGTCCTCATTGTAATTGCCATGGAAAAGTTAATTATAATTAAGACTAAGCCTAAGGTTATAAAGTGATGGGTCTCTCAAAGCTGGGATATACCTGCCAGACTTGAGATAGAAGTGTGCTGTAATAGGGCTAGCCTAAGACTTGAAGCCCAAACACTTACGTAAAAATCTCAGTGTGATTGCACAGGGACTTGTCGGTGGAATTATGCCTTCTCCCTTCCTGAATTCATGGGCTTATGTTTGAATGCCCATTGCTGCAGAGTGTGATCTTAATGGAACAGAGTCACTGAGATACAGTTACCTAAGACAAGCATTTATTGAAGTGGGGTGAGCCCCGAATCCAGTATGAGTGATATTCTTATAAAGTGGGCAAAATTGGAGGCAGGCACATGGGAGAATGCCAGATAAAGACGGGGGTTGTACTGTCATAAGTCAGGGAATACTTGAGGCTACTTGATGATGGAAGATGCAAGAGAGGACCCCTGTGCAGGTTCATAGAGAGTGTGACCTTGCTGATATCTTGATTTCTCATGTCTAGAGATGATTTTATTTTATTAATTTTTTAATACAAGTATATGTCGTACATTGAGAACTGTCCTTTACCCTCCTTTTTTTCTTCCACCACTAGTCCTATTGTTGCCCTAGAAATTTCTACTTTCATGTCACATGTACACAACATTTTAAGCATTTCTGTAGAATCTAGGAACCACACATGAGAGAAAACATAAGATACTTGCTGTTCTGAGACTGAATTAACTCACTTAATATAATTATCTACAATTGCATCAATGTGCCTGAGTATGGCATCCCTTGTTCTCCAGAATTGGAAAAATGTCCCACATTTTCTTTATCCATTATCTGTTGTTGTACACCTAGGTTGGTTCCATAATTCAGATTCTGCATAGTGCTGTGATAAGTGTGCAAGTGTCTCTGAGCTATGTTGACTTGCAGCTCTTAGATAAATACCCAGGAGGAGTAGAAGATCTATTGTTAGCTTGGTGAGGAACCTCCACATTGTCTTCCATCATGGCTGGACTAGTCGACATTCCCACAGGTTGTGTTAAGGGTTCCCTTTTGTCCACATCTTCGATAGCATGGTTGTTTGTTTTCTTAATGACTGCTGTTCTGGCTTTAAAGTCACTCAGTCTGTGGTACTTTGTCATGGCAGCCCTAGAAACCTACTATGTTACTCAAAAGCTTTGACATTTGGCTACTGCATGTCATAGTACTGATCAAACAGTGGGATGTTTAGTACTTTATTGACAGACTATGGATGCTGGATCCATCAATTACATGTGGA